TTGAGGCCTTTCAGTTGCTATTTGCATCTCTTTATTTTGAGGAATAGAGGTTTGAATTTTTGGTGTAGTTTCACCAGGAAGAAGATGGGATCTGTCACTGTAAACTGAGAACAGACTTCTCAAGGTAGAGTGAACCAAGTGAGTATGGGTCACCAAATCTGGAGGAGAATAACGCACTGGAGAGAAGCACTTGTAGCCAAGGTGTTTATTGCTCAACTGCTAAGCCTGGAACTGAGTCTAAATACTCACTATATGTTCCATGACAATGTATCAATATCATTATGCAAATAACTAAACCAAATGTCATAGCCTCAAATCATTACAGTCAGTCACATATGAAAAATATACCAAATATGAAAAAAAGTGTTTACTCAAGAGGGATGTCGGTTGTTAATTGGAACAGCTTATTTACATGCTGTCCTTGTGATAATTAATGGATTTTTACTAACATATGCACCATATTTGCCTGTGCGTGTTGGACCAACAACATGCAATGACATTTCTCAACTGGTATAATGACAAGTCCTCATAAGATTAAATTTTTTTCTACTGGTACATTCTGTTGCATTGTAGTATGTTATTGTACATTTTACGGAATGTTCACATTTAAAATATATCACACCTAATCATTGTGATTGAGGAAATAATACTTTGATCTATAGTAAATAAACAATGTTTCATTTTGATGTCTGATGCTCATTTGTTTTGAAGTTACAATGTGCTAACTATGATAAAGTTGAGTATGATAAGTCGCAGTCAAGTCTTGTTGTCTCTCGTGAGAGATGGCCCTGATAGCAGGTGTTCACTGCCATTGTTTGATTAGCAGTGTAGATGCTCATCACCTATGCTACGCTAGTATTTCTCAGATTATGTATGTGTTTCCAGGTCACGTCTTGAATGCATAGTTTTCAGTATACATTATGGAGGTTAACTAGCCAGTCCTTCAGAATGTGGCGACAGCGGCTATATTTTCAACTGGTGTTCCATCAGAGTGTTACGATCTAGTCATTTGTTCCTTTAGTGTTCTGGCAGTTCCAGATGCGACTATCTTCTTGTAATCCCAGGATGTTACTGTTATGAAGTCTAGGACAGATGTCTGTTACATCGTTTCTGATTTTGATAATCATTTGAAGGCCTCCTTCAAACTGTTTCTTCATATATAGAGGCCACTATGAATAACTTTCATATAAATTGTATGTACAATGGAAAAGTTAAGGGTTTGGTGAGAATATTTCCATAGCATTATGAACATGGTGCCCAAATATGCAAGGAAAGGGAATAAGTATAGTAAGAGATATCATGGTTTTCGTAAAGGGATTGACAGACGTTTTAGACAATGGTTTCAGGTAAGTGTTGTGTTTGAATGTGTTGAAATAAAAATATCGTCTTTTCAATTCCGGATTTGTAACGCTATATTTTTACTTCAATGATCTAATGAAGTGGAATAATATTTCTGATGTCATATATAGTGTTAAACATCAAAAGTGTCAAATTTCATTAATATTCAAATAGTTATTGAGTTTTGAATAAATTATTTGAAAATTTCAAGTAGACTATTTCATGTTTATTAAAATTTGATTCAATCTACATTACACAAAATTTATATTTTGTGTTTGTTTTCAAATTTTTCTATTTTCTATTTAATTCTCTTCTACTGTAGTTCCTTTTCTCTGAAAAAGTCATGTGATTATCAATGACCAATCAGAATAGGTGTCCATGATGCAGCCAATCATGTTTCATTTGACATGTCACTATTAGGTCACATTGCAGTTATGCCTCTCAAACTTAATTCATTAATTGTATCGTTTAGTAATCTTCTGTCCAGTCATTTTGACAAGCTGATCAAGTGACTGGATTAGAAACTGATCCTACACATGAAAGATTAATTCTCAGAACATTTCTTAATTTATTGTTACTTGTCAGAAAGATAAGTTGATTTGGAAGTCATGGTAATCTGGTTATTTTGAAGTTGTCTTTTTTTCTTCATAATAATAATAATAAAAGTTCCAAGCATAAGTATTTCCTATAAACAGTAGTTTACTTATTTTATATACTTTTATCTTTTTTTGAATACACCTACCTCAATGTATACTTTTGTGTAAAGGGGAGAGTGCTTACTGTTCTTCACCCCCCAACGTATACAACTACTAGTGTGAATGTTTTTAGAAGTTCTTTAATATCTATATCACTGTCGGGTGTGGTTATAATATATTATGCACAGGACACTTTTTTCCGTGATTTTAAATTGATTATTATAATTCAGTAATTGATGTTTTACTAGTAATGAAACATGGAGGCAGGGGTGGAAAAATGTTGAGCCAAGAACTGACAAAACAAAGAATAGAATAGAATAGAATAGAAATAGAATCTTTGTTGCCATCGTACCCCATATTTTAGGTGTTGATGAAAAGTACAATAAATTCTGAAATAACACTAACAATACAGGAACAAATCAAACAAGACACTCAAATTTCTAATAGAATAACTGGTTAATATGTAATTGGGGGATTTCTGCCGTTGATGCCCTGCTGAAGTTTAAGAAGTCTGCTTGAGAAGCGATTTGTCAACTTTATGTTTGATTTTATTTTGTCCTGTGCTGTTTATCAATATTTAGCACTATTATTTCACCATCATGACTTACTTGTGATTATATTGTGATTGTTACGAGTCAATAAAAGTCAGCAATCGGTTCAGCATCTAGGATGGATAGCTCGTAACACACATAGACAAAGTCGTAGAGCATAATCACCATTACACAATTTGATTGTATTTAAACGTGCATTGTTTTCTAATTAGGTAATTTATTATTTCTATCAATTCTTTTACTATTTCCATTTACTCACTGAGTAGTAATATAAATTCTAATAAGCATGGGACCCTTGGGGAAAAAAGTTCCAATCGGATGCTGACTTCTTGAGCCACAGGTTGTGCCTTTTGTGTTCCCTGGAGTCTCATCTATATGTATGTTTCTGACCCTGATTCACTTTGTAAACTCTATAAAACTGTGAGTAACTATTACATAACCTATCTACATGTACTTGTGCATGGAAACAGCATTCTGCTACTTTTACCAATTAAGTATTAGAACATCCCATTTGGAATAAAGTTACACAGAATAAGTTGTCAAATAAATACCGGTATACAAAATAGGATTTGAAATTAGAAATTGAAGTTGCCTGCTATTGGACAGCTTGGTGATTAAACGAACCTGTTCAATTTAATGCTGTACCTGTCTATATATAGCAAGATAAATTAAGACATTATTTAAAAATACAATTTTAATTACTGGCTCGTTATCATTTCATAAGTCTTTAAAATTCAGAAAGCAATTTTCTGGATATTAGCAACTTCGGACCACCTCGTTTGGTCTGTTAGTAAAACTTGATATCTTTTGTTTGTCCACTTTACAGGCAATTTGTACATTTACTTGTCCAATCTAAAATCTGTCTGGGACTGGTAGAAGGGCTCTGGTTGAACGTTGTAGTTGTGGAATATGATTAAAATTGTATTTCAGATTGTATTATTCTTGGATGTAATTATGCAACTTCTGTCATTGTCTGTAGTTCACTGTAGCAGAAATATAAAATGTGTTTTGGTTCAAGCCATTATGGACTATTAATATGTAGTTTGTAAACCTAAATGTATTTTCTTATTTTATTTGTAGGGATCCGAAGACTCCAACTATGGGCGCCCCTCAGATTCAGACCTCTCTTTAGATGAAGAAAGGGAAGCCACAAAACGGGAAACAGAGAGGCAAGCTGTAGCCCAGTTAGAAAAAGCCAAGGTAAGTTCTGCGCCTATGATTAGGAGAACTGGAATGTGAAGGCACATATTTAACTTTTTTCTTTTTAATATAATTTACCACAATATAATTACCGTTAGTTTCTTGTAAAAGTAACGTACAAACAATGTAGTTTGGGAGTTGCTTGCCAGCTAGTGAGAAATACAGTATGGCTAGTGAGAAATACAGTATGGCTAGTGAGAAATTCATTAGCAGAGAAATATAGGGTCACTTTGAGCTTGTGAGAATAATAGCATTGCTTTTGAGAAATACCAGTAGTATTGCTTGAGAAATTCATTAGCTCTCAATGATCAGAGCAGATTAAGAGAAATATAGTCACTTTTGAGAAATACAGTGTAGCTTATAAGAAATACAGTGTAGCTTATGTGAAACAGTGTAGCTTATGAGAAATACAGTGTAGCTTATGTGAAATACAGTGTAGCTTATGTGAAACAGTGTAGCTTATGAGAAATACAGTGTAGCTTATGTGAAATACAGTGTAGCTTATGTGAAACAGTGTAGCTTATGAGAAATACAGTGTAGCTTATGAGAAATACAGTGTAGTTATGGAAACAGTGTAGCTTATGTGAAACCATGTAGCTTGATGTAAAACTAGATTATTAAAGTCAAAGACATGTGCCATGGACATTAGTATTCAAGAATGAACCACCTTAACATAGATGCTGTGAATATTTAATCTTTCGTACTATTGGAAACGATCTGGTTGTCCTCGAGGGGAATTAATGTCGGCATTCTTGTTGAATTATTAAAGCATAGGATATGCAGTAAAGTGACACAGACTGAAGTTAATGTTGATGAAGGAAATGAAGTTCTACCGATGTAATGGGAAAATCTTGTAATCAAAATTGACAAGATAGGAAACAAAAGCATGTCAGAATTTGAAAAATCAAAAGTATTTTGAGATCTCCAACAGTTCAGTTGCGCAACGTTTTGAGTCAGAAACGGTTAAAGCGGGGGAGTCGTCACCTACGCATGCATCAGTTGGCCATAGCGTGTCATTGTTTACAAACAAGCATCTACCCATCAGCCTTTGCGTTATTAGCGCGTGTCGTTATCATCAATTCCCGCGCATGCGCAGGTGACAACCCTCTCACTTTAACATATTGCATTCCATAGAATCTAATGATGCTAATAATGTAAGGTACTGTAAATGCTTTAATTATTCGCTAGTTTTTAATTTCACTATTTTCAATGATGAGTAAGATCTGCTAAATTAAATCCATGTGAACATGGTAATTGCTCAAAGCATTAAAATAGTGAAATTAAATTCCAGTGTATGGTTTTACAGTACTTAGTGTTTTAAGGGACACTACTGTTAGAACTGCATACTGTAAAATATTTTATTTTTGCTTGGAATTAATTTTCGCTAAAAGAATGATTCAGTGAAAATAAAATCCAGCAAATATACCTTTTTTCCTATATTTTACATTCAACTCTCAGAAATCAGTGAAAATAAATTCCATACAAAATACCCAAAAAGTCTTTCAGCGAAAAGTAATCCCAGCTATTAAAAATAAATTATTTTACAGTATGTGTACTCTACTGTATTATTTTTTGTTGTCAAAACATAAAAAAAAAATTTCGGCCAGGGCAACCGTTCATACCAGTACTTTATCACCACAAAACACTTATCTATTACCAATCTAGCCACATGAGTTCACAATTGTTTGAAGTTATTAAAGTACGATCTGAGTGTAACACAACATAAAGCTAATATTAAGCTTGCTTTCAAAGCCGCTAAATCGTGCAGCGTAAAGTACCTACTGGTATATGTTTGATATTAGTAAGATATAATTAGGCAAATACTACAAAGAATAAGTTGAAATTTTTGATAATACTAACTTTGGAAATTGTAAGTTATCAAAGCAAAGCAAAGCCGGATGATAGCCAACTCGGACATTGCGTTAAGCCCTCCTGTCGGCCATTTTGAATTAAAAAATGATCAAAATACATTCATCTAAAGTTATTACTTCAAAAACTAGGTTTTAGTTACCACAATTTATGTCTTCAAAGTTCTACATAGCCAGTTACAGGAAATAATTTCCAAAAATTTCTGTGTCAAAAATGTGTCAGCTGCATCCATCCTCTGAGCAGGAAGGAACAAATTGTGTAGTGTGTAGGAAGTGTACATATTTTCATTCGTATATATTTAGCCAGTCAAACATATATAGCAACCATCCAAGATACTTATAAAAGTTGTACTTCATATGGAGGTAGATTAATTAAACAGAAATGAAAATTTGTTCTTAGTTTAAAGCGGGGGTGTCGTCACTTGCGCATGTGTCAGGTGGCCATAGCATGTCATTATTTACAAACAAGCGTCTACCCATGAGCCTTTGCATTCTTAACATGTGTTATCATCGCTTGGGACTCAATTCCCGTGCGTGTACAGGTGACTACCCTCTCACTTTAACAGATCGCTAGCTGAAAGTCTCCACCGATCGTCAAACAGGCAATGAGTTAACGAGCAAACAAATATTAGGAGATACAGTAGTAGTGAATAAGAATATGATTTGTTGGCTTGAAAACTTGTTTGTAAATTCCAACGTAGAGTCTAATGTAAAACACTAAATATCATTAATAGGAATAGCAAAATTCAGTGGACTCTGATTTTGTAGTCTGTTCAAGAGTTTCAGAGAGTATTGAATCAGTTTTCAAATAATTTTCATTAACTTTTAAAATGGTTTACATGTCTATGTGTAGAGGGTTTGATCAGTTTTCATTTCATTCTGATAACAAATAAGTGCATCAAGGATGATTTAATTTCTCAGAATATTCAGTAATTAGTTACTGCAAAATTTCCTTTTTTTCTAAGAAATTTGAAACATAAAACTGTTGACGAATAGGTTCAGGTATTGCAGCCCACATGACTTTCAGTAAAAGCTCTCAAACCGTGTACTTTATTAATTGATATATGCTTGATATTCTTAATTCTTTAATCAAATATTTTGATTTCACATCCAAAACTATAATTACATTCTAAAATGGACAAAGAAAATAAATAAATAATGATAACTATACATTGGATGATATTGTGATGTCTATTTTTCTGAATTTATTTGGTTTGAGTGGATGACTAATAATTTCCCTGTTGGCTTGATCTGATCCTACCGAGATAAAGACATATGAATTGCCCTTACTGCTCTGTCGTTATTCTACTTGCGTCATAGTGTATAATATATTCATTTAACTATGGGCTGTTACAGAATTGTTTTCCCAGCTGAGCTATAAATGCTAGAAAACAGTGTATGACATTCAGAATCGTGTGTATGTATTCTCAGTGTTAGTTTCCATGACGCCTTTACAGAGAGACAATTAAAAGTAAATATTCATTATGATCATAAGTTTTTAAAACCTGCAATGACCTCGGGTTGATCTTTGACAGTACGTGACTGGATCAGTGTAGTATCATATCATTTGAATATCAAATGATCACGTACATGTCTTTTTTTAAACCATCACTATTCAGTTATAAAACAAATCGTGTGATATCAGCTAAAGCAGCATATATGCCTTTGTGGTTTCCCTGGCGACGATTAAACTTGCACCCACTATCTTGCACCACTTCAATTTTGTGGAGAAAAAATGTTTCCAAATCAGTCAAAATTGTAAAAATTTATCACGAAATTTCATGAAATTTGTATTCACATAATGACATAAAATCATCAAATTTTGAAAGGAAAAAAACGAAAATTAAGCGGTTAACAGAATATACCGGGGTAATAGCTTATATCCATGATTTATATAAAATAACTTCTTGTTTGTTTATAATAAATCGTAATAAAACCCATCATTGTATTGATTTCAAAACTTTTTGTGAATGTTTTAACTTATTAAAATCTAGATTTATAGTTGATGATTTATAGCAATAGGTACTGTAGTTCAATACTCTTTGATAATGTGAAGATACTTTTTATTTTAGTTGCTACAAAACTATTATAAGAGCAGTTCCTATGTACACAGAGATTATGTTTTACAGATGTTAATGGAATCAATTATTGAAATACAAGGCTTCTTGAGGAGATCAATCCACCAAATTTATGTAATAAAACAGTCCATTGCTTTGCTATTAGTTATAGAAATGATTGCTATATGGTGTGTGCTTAGATATCTTTTAATCGTGAGGGGAATGTTTATCTCTGCTTACATCTTCACATGAATTCCAGAGGTGCTGTTATGAAGCCCTGCTAACAACAGTTTGATCAGTTTGTATTTATTGCTCAATTTTGCTGATTTCAGACAAAACCTGTAGCCTTTGCAGTGAGAACAAATGTTAGTTTTGACGGTAAACTTGACGATGACTCGCCCGTACAAGGATCAGCGGTCTCATTTGATGTCAAAGATTTTTTACATATTAAAGAGGTAAGCAATCCCATCTTAAAAGTTTATTAGTCCCCGTTCGGACTAAGTCCGAAAACGGGGACTTATAATTCGGTCTCATTCCGTGCGTCTGTATGTCCATGCATCCGTCAGGAGTCGTATCTCAGAATCCCTTGGACCGATTCCGTTCATTCTTTGCATGTGCCTAGTACTTTATGTGGGACATATGCACATGCAGTGGTTTAGCGATTCGATTCAAAATGGCTGACAGGCAGCCATCTTGTTTTTTGAAAATGTTGTATTTTGGACATGCTTTGTCAGTTGTTATTCAAACTTGGTACATAGATTATACATGTTAGGATACATGTATATGATGATTTATTTCGCAATTGGATCAAAATGGTCGACTGGCAGGCATCTTGTTTTTGTTTTTTATGTGGTATCTTGAACGTGCTCTGTCAGTTTTCATTCAAATTTGGCACATACATGTACTTCATACATGTTAGGATGCATGTCCATGATAATTTGTTTCAAAATCTGGTCAAGGATGGCCGATTGACAGCCATCTGACTTTTTGGCCTTACTACTATATTTCCACAATTTATGTACCATTTTCATTCGTATTTGGAACATACATCATACATATCAGTGTGTTTCATAATCAGATCAAAGATGGCCGAATAACGGCTGTTTTTATTTTTGGCCATATTACTACTACATGGAACACGTGTTTTAATGTAAAACAATCTGTTGTATACGCCACTTGGAACTCAAGTTTCAAGGACACGCTCCCGACAACCCCTCCACTTTAATATGACGAGCGCAAAGAGAACTTTCAAAAATTTAACAGGGACTGTGTCATTTTCAATGACTTGTTCAGAATGCATTATTTTGAATCAAAACATGGGTAATCTGAATCTAGTCATCTGATTGGCTGAAGCAGTCTTATTTCTGGTACTAGAAGAAGACTCGTGATCCTGCCTCAAAACTGAATAAACTAACTTAAATATCCAACTGAATTGAGATCAAATAACTGTGAGCAGTGTTAATAGTGATTGAAGGTGTATGATAAAATAATCAAAAGAGGGAAACCTGGTACAAGCAACTATTATGGGTTATTATTCCCAAATATTTTAAATTATTGCACATTTTGTGATAAAAGTCATTGTGAGAATGCATACGGTCATTACATCATATCGTTCTAATGGAACGCGTTGTGTTATCGCCGTGTCCGTTCCTTTCATTCACCGGGCTTGTCATCTGTTACACAAATTGACTTACATGCAAAGAAGCACTAAAAAACTAAAACTAAAACTAAAAAAATAAAATAGAAAATTCACACATAGCAATGTGATATATATTTTGTAGTATCTTTTTTGTGCTAGCATGTTATAATGAGATTTTAAACGGTACACATGCATGGGTATTTGGTAGTGAGTATAAGACCTGTCTGGGTGAAATTAGCATATTCGGGGCAGAGAGGTCTTAAACTTACTACCAAGTATCTTCGCTTGCCGTTGTTGACTTGTAAATAGTAAACATTGTTTATTATGGTAACTATGCCACAGCCAGTGTTTTGACACATCACGGTGCTTTAAGTCGTATTGCAGGATGGACGTTTAATGACAAGTTTTTTTTCCAGAAATACAACAATGACTGGTGGATAGGTAGACTAGTAAAAGAAGGATGTGATGTAGGTTTTATACCGAGTCCTGTCAAATTAGAAAATTTAAAATTAACGCAGTCAACATCAGGTCGATCAGGAAAACTAGCAACAAAGTAAGTAACAAACAAAGATATTTATTCGTGACTGTTGTTGATAATCATGATATATTTACATAATTCATTGCTGTTTGTATCTCATAATTTGTTTTATTTTATTTATTTATCAGTAAAATATTACTATACCTGATTTCATCCTTCCATTGGTTTCCCTTTTATATCCTGTGCTTTTTTCATTTGTGGGAAAAGGGAATCTATTTTATTTTTTCATAATTATTTGTTTCCCCTCTTGTGTTTTGAATTCCATTGTGGATCCTATAAGTGTGACATCAGCACATCTTGATTTGGCTTGTTCTCAATCTCACCACAAGATGATGTGCCCTTTCCTTTCCATGGAATAATTCATTTTGGCATTAGCCAATCAGTGAGTTTGTTATGAATTTTGTTCTTTTATTGGATATTTAACTAGGTCCAAACTGGTCATCTGTCTATTATCCACTTATGATTGTTTTATGAGCTGAGATTGTCCAATTAAATTCTTTGTTTTGAATTTTTAGAAGCCAAGACAAAATTTACACCGCAAAATTACCAAAACTCTGGCAAAATATTTCAAAAAATATTATTTATTGTCACATTGTATCCATGTTAATTCACTAAATGCTATATCTTTTTTTTCTTTTTTCTTTCTTTGCATGCTGTTCTATGTACATTGCACACTCCTTTTACTCGTGCTGTTCCTTCTATTGTTACCACTCCCAATTTGCCATGCATGTCTTTTGTACTGTTTCATGACACTCACTTTGTTGTCACATGGTGTTTGTATACTATTTGTTGTCACGTGGTGCTTGCGTAACACTTACAATGTTTAGTAGTAGTAGCAAACTTCCTGTATCACCAACAAGGAAATCTACGTCATCGTTACTTTCGAACAAAGCTGCTACGCTTCCTCTTAGTGGTAAATCTAGTCAACACTCGTCTCTCCCTCACCATAGTAAATCTAGCAGTGGATCCAACCTTGGAGACATTGTTGCTATAGCCAACTCAAGATCATCCAATTCAAGAGGATCAACGCCACCAACGCCAGGTAGGTTTATTTCTTTCTTTTATCACCATTGTAATAACTAAAAGTAGTAATCTGCTGTCCAGTTCCTCAAATCAAAAATTTTGATGCAAATATCAAAATGATTTAAATTCTGTTAAATATATTTTTAGTTAAAGAGCCACAGTTGTCTCACAATATGTGAACAGTCAATATGTTTTACCTTAGACCCTGGAGTCTGTTATTTTACCTTAGACCCTAGAGTCTGTTATTTTACCTTAGACCCTAGAGTCTGTTATTTTACCTTAGACCCTAGAGTCTGTTATTTTACCTTAGACCCTAGAGTCTGTTATTTTACCTTAGACCCTGGAGTCTGTTATTTTACCTTAGACCCTGGAGTCTGTTATTTTACCTTAGATCCTAGAGTCTGTTATTTTACTTTAGACCCTGGAGTCTGTTATTTTATTTATATAAGTCACATGAGACTAATATTGAACACAAAATATTGCTATGTCTCTGTTGAAGTGTGACTTAATTTCTTACGTCATTTAAGAAGACAGATTATGTTCAGTGTGCCCTCTATGCCACAGATGCATAAACATTTGTTGCGATACAACTCGTTGTGTTAATTCACTGGCATGTCATTGATGCAACGGAAATTGATATAGTAATCTTGAAATACAGTTTACTAGTTATGGAATTTAGTAAAATGTCCAGTAAAAAAATCCTGAAAACAGTCAAAATGATATGTGATATTAAGAAGGGGTATGACTAGTTATACCATAAATTTTAGTTTTAATTGGGAACAAATTGATTCAAATGTAAGTGTTTTACTTGATATGCGTTTCATCTCATCCAGCACCATGACCAGACTGATCAGAGAGATCCATCCATTTGAAGCTTCTGTGTTATGAGTACAATATGTTTCTTTTTAAAAAAAGTTAGAAACTTACCTCTTAGCTCATGGGAGAACATCTTTTATCTAAAACTAAAATTATCTAATTAATCTTGAATTTGACTCTTGCAAGTATTGATATTATATATCACCTCTATAATGGGCTTCTGTAACTTCAGTCCATTCTACACGTAGGTTGATTTTCTCATGTGCACTAATTTTTCTTCTCGTGCTTTCAACTTTTTTCTTCACATTTTTTATTCTTATTCTTTTCCTTGGGTGCATGTTGTAGAAAATGCTAGCAAAAAAGGTTTGTAAATCTTTGAACCAACTTAGCAGTCAGTAGTTTTGTCATCATTGCACGTATATACACAAATTTCATGGATGTCATAGATTCGTGTGCACACATTTATGATGTCGCTATAGATATGTGCTGCACTGAATGTGATGTCATTGTGTAGTTGTGCACTATGTCATAAAAAAGTGTGTCTTGATAGTATGATGAGATAAGTGGATAAATACTTTAATCCATTGAGAGACAGAAAAAAGGAGAAACTTTGCAGATTAAGGTTTTAAATGTCTGAAATATAAAGATTACTAAAATAAGATATAAAAAAAATTAGTTTGTGTATTTTCAAGGAAAAATAAAACAAAAAATGTGATTCGTAGCCTAAAGGAAAGTATGTTCAGTTGGTCCAAAATTAGTTATAAATTGTAGTTATAAATCATCAATGTTTTGGTGTAAACCTTGTATTTAAATAACAATTCAGAGAATGCTGACGAAATGTTGTGTAAATTGTGTGGTTTGCTTTGTGTTCTTGCCGCCACAATTAGCATAAACAATTGCATGATTGTGGCAGTTACATGAACTTCCATTCCCAGTATTTCAGTTTGCCAAATCCTAGTTTTTTGACGCTTCCAAATGTGGTGGTGTGTTGAATATTTGCTGCCCTGCGCAAATTACACCCTATGTTGCCATACAAACTGATCTAGTTAATATTGCTTTGATAGGGGTTGATGCAGAACAGAATGGTGTTGATGAAGATACTGACTCACTTGGTAAATCAAAAGGGAGTACTGTTTCTCCCCTGCCGAAAGAGAAAAGGAAACCCTTTTTCAAGAAGGTATGTATATTCCTTCGCATCTCTTGCTGCTCAATCCTGACATCTGCATTTTTTTAACGCTTACAATCCCTCCCAGTCTCTCCTATGCTTTGATTTTAATAAATACTTACTTGGACATGAACTTCTCGGATTTATACATGGTTGTAAATTCAGATTGTATTTTGCTGTTACTGCCCTCTAGTGGTGGAGAATGTTGCATACATAGGTAAACCACTTTCCCGGAAGTAGCGAGACTGCGGTGCAAAAATACGGTACTCCTGCTTTGTCATGTCTGAAAAAACAAACATGTCAGTTTACTGATAGTTGATAGAAGGGAATTTTAGTTTTGTTATGTCGATTGGTACACCCAGAGGCACAATATCACGCGTGCAAGTTTATGTCACACCCCAAAATGGTATGTGCGCGCATGCAAAACGTAGTATCTTCAACATCTGGGAAAGTGGTCCAAGTTGGTAGAAGGAAACCTTTTCAAAGCATTGTTGTTGTTTTTCATTGTTTTTCATCAAGAAACTCTGGGGTGGGAGATAGTAGAACTAAAGTTGAAAATTACTGTTTACGATGTTGCTGTAAATTATTTTTTCTTCTTCACTATATCAAAAGTGGGGAATTGCTATCTGTAATTTTCTCTGTAGAATCTTTCTTCTCAAAATCCCCTTTCCTCCCAAAGACACTAATGATCAGCCCCCTCTTCTCTCACTTGCTTATTGGTGTTTGGAAAATAGGAAGCCATGATGTAGGGTCAAAGGTCAAATAAAATTAATAAATCAATGTTTAAATATTGGTGGCTGTATTTCATATTACAGGATATGTGTGCATTGTCAAACAGGTTTTTAAAGCAAGAAAACAATATCTACAACTGTGAACAAGAGATCCATTATGTTATATTTTACTTTTACAGCAAGAAAATGTACCTCCATATGACGTAGTGCCTTCAATGAGGCCTGTAGTATTAGTAGGGCCGTCATTGAAAGGTTATGAAGTGACTGATATGATGCAAAAAGCTCTATTTGACTATCTCAAACACAGATTTGAAGGGAGGTAAGTCAACTAACATCAAAGCTTTGGGCGGGGGGGCTCTATTTGGAATGAAAGTGTTTTTGTGCTGAGTTGAAGGTACCTTTTGAGGTTAAAGCCTTCCCAATGATACAGTTTTGTTGCATGACAACATCTTTTGTTGATTGTTTTTTTTTTAATGTGAAATAAAAGTTTAATGATGTACGTTAATAATTGTTTATAATTATATGAATGATTGTTAAAACAAATATTTACCTAATGACTTAAAGGGCCATCACCTGCGCGCACACGGGAATTGAGTACCAAGCGACGATAACAACACACGCTAGAAAAACGACAAGGCTCATGAGTAGACGCTTGTTTGTAAACAATGACACACTATGGCCAACTGATGCATGCGCAGGTGATGACTGCCCCGCTTTAAACACAAGGTACAGAAAGCAGTGATACAGAGACTATTAAAAATAAAAATGAATAATCACTATGGCTGATGAGCAGCATTTGAAAATGTGTTGTTATTATGGATTACAAAAGCTTATATTTGAGGGTTATTATTGGTGAAATACCATACTTTATGACATTCCCACAAAGTGCTACCATATATATTGCCATGAGCAAACTGACAACTAATACATTTTCAAAACTCCTACTTGGGGTTTGGTGTTAGTTTCAGAATAGATTTCTTGCCTTTTAATGCAGACGATTTATGTGTGTCAGCAATCTTGAAAACGGTGACACAACATTAAGAAACCGATTTTTGGCCCAATAGTTAAAATAAACTGTCTTGATAACCAGAAACATTTTTGTAGCTGTCTGTGACAATGTGTACATGAATACCAATCAGCATAAAATAAAACAAATTCAGTGAAATAAAATTTGCTTGACGACTTACAGTCTGTTTTTTTAAATGAACCTCAGGCAATAAAGGAGCTGAATCATTATCCAATTGTTACACAGAACCCATCTTGCCTCTTGCTTTCGGAAGAGTGCACTCCAAAATTCTAGACTCAAGAAAGATTCATGTCTGAAAAATAAACCCAATTTTTCCTTAATTAGACATGTAGTGAAGGGTACAAGACTGGAGCCGAGTACATTTTTAGCTCCGCTGTCGACTTTGACGAGCGGAGCTTATCATATGAGTGATTGTCCGTCGTCGTCCGTGTCAATGTTTTACTTTTTTGACTTCTTCTTGAAAACTACAAGCCTGAATGCTTTGATACTTGGTGTATATGTACTTTGGGTAAACCTCTTTCAGATTTGTTCATTTCATGATCATATCTTCAATTCTCTAATTTTAGTGAGTATTTTTTTCATTTTTGGTAAAAAGTGATATTTTCGACTTCTAGTTAAAAACCCTAAGTCCAATTGCTTTGATATTACATATATAGGTACTACATATGGACCTCTCACAGATTTGTTCGATTTGTAATGATATCTTTAATTCTCTAATTTTGGTGAATATTTTTGTCATTTTTGGTAAAAAGTGATATTTTCGACTTCTTGTTGAAAAACCGCAAGTCCAATTGCTTTGATATTACATATATAGGTACTACATGTCGGACCTCTCATCAGATTTGTTCATTTTGTAATGATATCTTTAATTCTCTAATTTCGGTGAATATTTTTGTCATTTTTGGTAAAAAGTGATATTTTCGACTTCTTGTTAAAAACAACAAGTCCAATTGCTTTGATATTACATATATAGATACTACATGTGGACCACTCTCAAATTTGTTCATTTCATGATGATATCTTCAATTCTCTAATTGTGATGAATATTTTTGTCATTTTTGGTAAAAAGTGATATTTTCTTCTTGTTAAAAACCACAATCATTTGTGGTCAAAAATGATATTTTTGAATTCTTGTTGAAAACAGCAAGTCCCATTGCATTGATACTATGCATATTGTTCATTTTCTAATGATATCTTCTGTTCTTTAATTGAAATGTGCATTGCTAACATCAAAGCTATCTCAGCTGAGAGGCTGCTTGTTATAAATCAAAATAGATGTTAGAATTGTAATTAACTAATCCAGAAATGGTATTGTGACATTGGTTCTAATTAATACTAATGAGTTAGTTTAGCAATATTTGTATTTGTTCCTGTCTTTAATTTGTTAGCCTTATCGTTATTTGTTTTGTTCTTTCATTAACAGGATAGCAATAACGAGGGTAACGGCAGACATAGCATTAGCGAAGCGGTCAGTGCTGAACAATCCAAGCAAACGGGCAATAATGGAAAGGTCTAATAGTCGAACGTCTAGTATAGGTGAGCAGTCACATTGTGTCACCAATTTTCGTACAGTGGTCCCAGTTGTCTAAATAACTGGACTTGCTTATCCTGGTATGCATAGATTATTAAAATACAACAAATCAAGTTGGTTTTCATTCCATTGCCTATTGTCTGTCAGTGGAATATCTGGACGCACTGTTAAATAACATAAAATTACAAAATTTGATATCACTGCAGATTTTCAAACCAGGACTTGGCCATATATGATTACCTTGCCTGTACCATCAAAGATGGAAGGGAAAGGTATATTAAGGGAAAATTTTTGTCCGGCATTGTCGTTGTTGTTGTCGTTGTCGTCGTCGTTAATAATTGTTATTGTGTGCATAATAACTTTACTAATTCTATTCCAAACTTTATCAAACTTGGTCACCTTATTCATCAGTATAAAGTCTTCCCTGAGTTTGAACAACAGATGTCCTGTATGAAAATATCATGCAAAAATTGAGAAAATCTGATAAAATATTTTGACTGTTTCTACTTGACTGATCACTGGTGATACACATCAAAGGTCACTGATCTCAGTGGAAATATGCATTGTTGTATGTGTTCAATGAAGCAAATGATTTATCTTGTAATAATATCCTTAGTAATGTATCTCAGAATCCCATACTGGGTTTCAAAACCAACTCATGGAGAGATTGCACAGTCTGATACACATTTGCAAACCTACCAATAAAATCTTTA